TTTAGATTTTATTTAGAACATATTTTTTAAAAATGAAAACTGTTTGCTTTTCAAGTTTTCTTCAACAACCTTAGATGCAAACTGTTTGTTCTTCGCTTTTGTATTACTGCAGGAAACACCGTAACAACCAACAAGTGACGAAAGCTAAACCGCTCAAGCAACCAGGAAGGATAGGAGACCACACATCATCCTTGTAAAGGGACAATATTTGTTTCATGGTATTTTGGATCATCAAAGTGTCCCTCGTAATTGCTGGTCGAATTCTTCTGTAGTCTCGTGACTGGTCTCGGCCTATAACCCGTGCATGCTGTAAAACCATTATAATCATGGAGAGTGGTACCTTGCTTCTCTTGCCATTGTAGTAGATTACTGACTGTGTAATCTACGGCACCAATCTATGTTAACAGTGCATTTCGGTTAGATGTAGATTTGAATGAAAGTTCTTCTTGTCAATGTATGTTTTTTGTGCAGCATTATGTAGAGGGCATGCAACAATCATGGGGGCTTTATTTGTATAATATACACAATGATAATAAGAAAACACCACAAGACCGCCCAAAAAAACCCAAAATATGCGAACAGGAGTGGAATCGATAATCAATTATATTATTGGACTCGCATCAACTTGGATATTTTTCAACGTCAGTTACTCACAGTAGAATGAGTCCATTGATATAAATACATTCAAATGAAATTGGGAAACGAAAAGGTAAAGTGCAGTGGATACATACCGAGGGTGAAAATGTTGGACTCTCTTATACTTCTGATACACCGATAAACGTTAATTGTTATTTCAGGAAAAGCTAAGGATGTTGCGTATATACGGTGAACAAACTTTGCCAAATACGTTGAATGAAAAATTAATAATTTTGTATGACTTTTGTCACGCATAATATTCGGCGTAATAGTATTTAAAAATGAACCTGCATTTTTAGCTGGGGCTAACACTTAAATAAATGTATAACTACACACAAGAAAGCACTTGTTAAAGACTTATATCATTATCATGCTGCCAAACTGAATAATTTTGTATTTGAGCCATGTATAATGCTTGCCATAATATTATGTTAGAACAAACCTGTATTTTTAACTAGGATAGTACTGATAGGATTTCTTATAGCTTTATATCAACACACAAGAAAGCACTTATTGAAGCAATTTGTAAACCTACATGATTATCATGCTGCCAATATAAAAATAAAAATAAAAACAAAATTATCTGGAAACTCAAAATCTGGTCCTCGTTAATAAAGGGTTCTTGAGATGAAATTTTCTGAGGCACACATTATGTGAAACTTTCTACTCCTCTTAAATGCATGAAAACCACTTGTATGATCCCTTTTTGGTTAATATGTATCGAAAAGTGCACTTCTTCAAACATTTACAATGTTTCCATACTTTTCCGGACAACCGAGGGCGTTGTTGCTGTGATGTCATTACAGGAAGACAGTGCTCAGTTTAGAGGTTTTCTGTTCTCAAAATCGTGAACTCAAAAATGTGCTCATTGAAAACATTTGTTGGAAAAGTTGACTCGCCTTACTGCCATGTACTGACACAATAACAGATCAACAAAGAAAGATCAATTTCGAAAGCAAATCGTCAAAAATTCTAACAACTTTTGATGCTGACATTCTGCTTGAAATCACACTTTTGCTACTGAATATGAACATTTGCATGAACAAAATGATACCAAAATAGCCTTACAAATTGCAAAACTATCATTGAAAATAAAGGTGCATTTTCAAGGATTGCATTAAAGCATGCCCCTACGCCAGCAGTTGTGTACAGACAAATCCGAGTACGATAACAATCCTATCACGAAGGCCCCTTTCAATGGCGAAGCATATTGTGCTAGCTATTGTTCAGATAATCCGTCACGAAGCATGCAGTTGTTTTGTGCAAAATCATGCGTAATGGTTTCTCCATTGAAGGCAGAAACTTGCTTAACGGCGCATTTGGTAAAATCTCAGACTTTCTCGGATTTCATTAAAAAACATACTTAGCGTCACTGCCATATCCATCAACATGTTTGTCAGCGGAGGAGGGGTGATTTCTTGTCAAACTGGGAGGAGGGAGTGGGAGGGGGGCGGAGGACAATCTAAAAGACATTCCAGGTCGCAATTGTAAGTGGTTGAGAGGATGTTCGTCATCTTAGGTCTAGACGTTCCGAGGTCATACCATTAGAATCAGCTAAGCTATTCGTAGCAAGCGGGTTTTTTTACACCGTTGTCTTGTAGGCCGCCCAGGAGTGGAGTAATAGCGGTATGGTTTTATACTTCCGAGGTAGCCTTCTCCTAGGTGGGAAGCCAACCAAGGCTGACGAGCCCCACCTGCACGGGTTTGGAATCAGAGTTTTCCGTCTATTAGGAGGGTTGCCTTAAACCTGCCTTCACATCTCACATGAAGCCAAGCAGTAGCTATCTTGTTTTAGGCGCCAGAAACCTGCCTTCACAACACTGCCATCCCGTGGCGCACCCAAGGGGGGGGGGGGGGGCCGCTGGGGGGGGGGGGGCCTGGGTAATTTGTTTTTAGTCCTACAATTTGACCTTGGTCATATATACGTGGCCTATTTTCGAGTAGTATAATAGGAATATAAGTGGCGCCACCAACGTCAAAATAGTCCGCCCCCCAAAAAGTACCCAATTTTTTTTTCTGCGGCCAAACATGAAGCCAAGCAGCAGGAGTTTGGTTAGGAGAGGCTATTCGAGACGCTGACTTTATCGAATATTTCAAGGGAGAGGAGTGGCTCAATTCTTCTCTTATTATATGATTACCCATGTTTTTTAATCGGTTGCCATCCCGACCATGGCCATCTACAAAATTGCTTTTGATACTATATTGACCACTGATTAACGTTACAGGAAAAGTCACCCAATTTCGTGCCGATCGACCGAAGCGTTTCACAAGAAAGCGTGGGCAATTTAGGCCTGTTTAGGCCCCCCCAAAAAAAAATACTTCTGCTTCCGGTTACCCAATCGACCCTATTTGTAGGCTGCGACCCTACAAATTCTATCGGCAATTAAAAAAATAAAATGTTTGAATAAATAAAAATAAAATATTGTCTTTTCTGTCTTCACAAAATACCTCTCAACAACCCTTTTGCGTCAAAAAATGCTTATTTTTACAAATAAAAAATATTAAAATGTTATTTTTACAAATAGCTTCCCGTCTTGACTAGCGTTGTGAATATGGTGCAAACGACCTGAATTTTCCAATATTTTTTAAGAATTATCCAACGTAAATATTATGTTGACCGTAGAAAGGTTTTAATCACATTTTGTGGCCATTTTGGGTATAGCTTTCGTAGTGCAATGGAAATAGTTCAGGCTAATCCTTCCCATATAATTGAATGACCCATTCAATCTGCATAAAAAATGTCCCCCCCCCCAAAAAAAAAAAGTTTCCGACCGACCGACCCTATTTTTGAAAGGCATGTGAATCGGAAGCAGAAGTATTTGTTTTCGGCCTTAATGCTTCGCATCCAAATATTACTGCAGTGTCACTGACAAATGTTTGCGATATATTGCCCAGACAATTTAAAAAATAAGTCTGTTTTTGATGAACGTCTTGAACATGGATGTTAGTTACAGGCTCGTCATATACATGAGGTTAAATATGAGCCGAAAGCCAGTGACAAAACATGTCCGTCACAACTGAAGGAAATGATGTTCTGGGGTCCGCTCATAAGTCCGACGCCTCATAGGTCCGACGCCTCATAGCTCCGAAAAATCGCATCCCCCAACTACATAAAGGCCCATAAGTCCGACACCTCATAAGTACGACGCCTCATAGCTCCGACGCCTCGTACGCTTCGTTTTTCCGACGTCGGACCTATAAGGCGTCGGACTTATGATACGGCCGCGATGTTTTAACCAGGACTTGTTTTCGGCTCCGCCTCCCTTTACGTGAGCAATTTGGTGCATTGGTACTCCACACAACTATGCCACTACCCGATGTTTGATATATTGCCCAGACAATGTCAGAGGTTAAATCTGTTTTGGATGAACGTCTTGAACATGCATGTTCGTTACAGGATCGTCATACATGAGGGTAACTATGATCCAGTGTCAAACCACACGCGTCACGTCCAATGTTCACCATGTTGGCCTTGCCATAGTTGGTCCCGCCCAGTTCTCGGTAGTAGAGTCTTGCGAAGCGGGCGCTTTCTATATCGGGCCTTCGGTCATTCACCCGTTGTCGCGTTTGAGACATCGATAAATAAAACCTATAGACACTACAATAATACGCTATAAGTGATAAGCGTCCGCCGCGGCAAGCTTGTCTTGGTTTTATGTATCTATGCTCGGCCAGCCATTGTTGTATTACAAAAACACTTCATTCGAACTGACCAATCAAACCTTAGTCCAGACTTCGAACTGAAATGACGTCACGATTTAGTAAAGTCGACTCCGATAGGCTGGCGCGAGGGGTCGCATAAGTTTGCGTGCTTTTATGTATCAGACGTTTGACCGGAGACGTACAGGGCTCCGTGGAGAACGGGTGATATTCAGACTAAGTTCTCGGCCGCTCATAGTCTATATTGATTATGTTGCACTTTTTTTAATTGTATAACACATTAATACATTTCCTTATGAAGTGTATCTTTAATATATTTATTTAGTTTCATTGACATTAGGTCACAGGTTTAAACCCTGCTCCAGTCAGTTTCTATGTTCAACTTTGAAAAACCATTAACATAATAATAACACAAATAGCAGATCTAGATTTTGCGTGAAATTTCACGTAAAGTCTTGTCATTGAGGGGGCGTTGGGGTTGAGTTGGGGTTCAAACATTCCGATGTGTATGAGGTAATGTCTGGTATGTGTGTGTGGTTTTAGAGCATGTGGTGCCTAATACAGATTGTTTCCTAGCAACACAAACAAAACCACGTAGCCTAGACAACGTCGGAGGATTTATTGCATGGAAGCCAGACGGATATCTGCATGCTTACCTGTTAACCCCGACACACCCTACACGATGCCTAGCGCCATATAAACCCGATTACCAACCCGTCGGTTCATACTCGGCTCCGAGCTGATCTCTCCTTAAGACGTTTGTATTACTTTCTCTCATCGTATTCGAAAACAATAATGGCTTACTCTGCATCAAATCTGCTGGTGTTGGCTGCCACGCTGATCACCATTACTGCGCCCTTACGTAAGTGTGAAACTGAATTGAATTGTTCGTTTTCAACTGTAATTTTACAATTATTTTCTATTGCAAAAAAAAAACTCGTGGAAACCTGTAAGCAGGCAACTGATTTGAAAGCTGAAACTTTGTATTTCTGTGGTTTACAGTTACTAGCATACTTTGTTTATGAATCATGTGTTACTTGACTATCAACTAGCGCTGCAATGGCTCGATTTTTTGAAGATCAAATTTGTATGGCCGAAATTCCTTCGCATGATGATTTCATGAAAATCGCCATTTTTCAAGAAGTACTTCATGGACGTCTATTAGACTTGTTTAAAATATTTGTCAAACTGTTATGATTTCATTTACAGAAATGCCTTTCAGAGCCCAAATAATGGCGCATTCCAGGCGAAAATAGCCCTTTAATTTGTCAAGAATTTATATTTAAACGATTTTATTTGAACAGTGTGTTCAGCAGTGGCGTAGCCAAGGTGAAGGGGGGGGGGGGGGCTGGGGGCACGTGCCCCCCACGAATTCCAAGTGCACCCAAGATGCCCCCCCCCCCCACAAACAAAAAATCTGAAATGTCCCACTTGCCAAGGATCAAGTGTCTTTTCAAAGTATTTTTTATTAGTTATTAAAAGGAAGAGGAATCTAGATTACCATTTTGACTTCCCTGATCCGCACGTACGGCATTATGAAATGTTCATAATTTGATAAAAAAACGCCCTCTATAGTCAACAGAGGTCTTGCCCCCCCCCCCTTCGAATAAGCAGCACTTGCGGTGCCCTGGAAATTTGGAGGAAATGTTGTTGTTGGGTCCACCCTTGGTGCTCCCTCATTACATGCTGGTATCCCCCCCCCCCCCCAATTCTGAAATGGATAACTTTGTCATTGCTAGAAAAATAACAAGAAAAGTAGCAATTTAAACCAGTAATCTATTTTGGGGTTAAAAATTGGGGGGGGGGGAAATCTATTGAAAATAACGGTACAAATTGAAAATAACGGTACATTTTGAAAACAATTTTGTCATGTTAGGCCAAAAAAAAAATATTCGGTCTCTTGTCAGACCAAAGTTCCGGAATTGACGCGGCGACGCGGATTTATTATTTTATTTTTGGCTTTCTTTTTCTTCTTCAAACTTGGATTGTACAGACAAGGTGGGGTACTATTTTGCTTTTTTGGTGTCCTCATGTACATTTGTGTCCTCCATAATTTGCCTTGGTGCTCTCGATCATTTGCCTTGGTGCAATTTCCCATTCCTTGGTGCTCTTTGGTAAAAAAAAATTGAGGAGGTGCGGCAATAGAGGGCGCTGTTGGAGCTACCGCGGAGCATTTTGGAAAGAAAATTGACGCGCATGATAAGATCGACGCGCGCTGACCAGAGACCGACTTTTTTTTTTTTTGGCCTTAGTTTCAATTTCATACCTTTATATTGGCTTATTTCCGCTTGTTGATGCCTATTCAGTTTTACTGCTGTATCCGTATAGGCATACGTACAATTTTAACGGATCCACTGGATTCAGAATGCATTTTGTGCCTATCAGTTTGTCGGTTGTGTTTATTCCAGTTAAAAACAATAACAAATAAAATATCACAATTTTGACTTTGTATTTAGAATTATGCTCGGCCCATCCCGTGGTGCCAGATGTGACGTCACAAGATCAGGCAAGGAGCTCAAGCATATCAGGTAAATAAACAAATGAAACTGCTGATGTTTAATTGTAAAATGTATATTTATTTGCACGCCTAGTTTGCCACGCGGCGTTCCGATGGTGGGGGGGGGGGGGGGGCAGGTCCACTCCTCGTATTGCTTTGATTGAGGGGGCACCTGCGGCATATGTATTATCTGTATTTTGTATGAACAATATTTCAAACGGTCTCTACAAATATGAAGCTATAACGTGGCTTTATGCTGTCCAGATTGTCTGAATTTGATTGGAATATAAAATAATGGATGGAGCTTGGGATATAGGTCCTATCACATTAAAAACCCATCAAACCTAATTACCTACTAGAAAGCACTCAGAGAGCGCAAACCTCCACCAAGGCTAAACAATTCCACGCCATATTGTCAGTACACCCAAAAGAAATACTCGCATAAATGGTGAAGAATTCTAAAAAAAAATCCTGGATCCAGACCCACATCCGGATCACTTCCAAAATCTAATCGATTTGTACTTCTACCAAGGACCACATTTAAAATAAACTCATGCAAATCCGTCCATAACTTGTTGAGTTGTCTTGCTAACAGACAAACTAACAAACAAACAAACAAACCAACAAACAAAATCCGATGAAAACATAACCTCCTTGGCAGAGGTAACAACTTACAAGACAAGGCAAACCTATAGTACAGCCGTGTGGTTGCGAAGGCCAATTTCGGAAGGTTACGTAATGCTATATTTTGAATGAAACAACATGAACACAGACACGTGAATGTTCGCCCGCAAAATCTTTGAAAATCAATTCTCCCGTTTGGAAGGCCGTATCTTCATGCAACTTTCAGGGTCTGTGTCCCTTATAATTAATTTATGTGCTAAAATCGTTTTCATAATGTTCTGTATTTTTCGTTGGAATTGAAAAAATAGGCTTATTTCCCCCCCCCCCAAGCTGTAACACTGGTGTTTGCAATATCTGTCAACCTTTTAATGCATCTCGAATAATCAGGTTCCTACCCTATGATTGTGCAGTACAAATTTTCAGTATCGCCTCCTTCACGAGTTACTAATTAATAAATTTCACCTTTTTTGTCGGCTTCAATTGGTCGATACCGAGACCCATGCCGAGTCACGCCAAGTAAGTAATATGGGCTTCGTCATTGTTGCCCCCAAAACGGCCAACCCGAAAACCATGCACGTAAGTTTTGTCGAAAAAAATCCTCGTCGAAATTTACCTTGGAGATAGTTCAAGGTGTAACACAAGCGTTTGCAATAACAGATTAAGTTGAAATTCGGAATATACTTAAATGATATTAGACAGTGTTCAACTACTCGTGAAATAACAACTTATGGGGATTCCTATCAATTGAAATAAATAGACAGATTTGGGGACCTTTTCGAACGAATTTTTAAAGACTTTAGGTCACATTCACTAGTGTTTCGGCATCAATAACAGCGATTTTGTCACTGACATGATAATTATACTTTCTTATTCTGTTATAAAATAAAATTTCAATCATACTGAGCATTATTTCTGAAAAACATAGCATTCAAAAAGCCATGTTTTTTTGGCTGCATGAATTTCACTGCTCTGATGGTAACGTTTATGTACGTATAATCGGATTAACGTTGTTTAACAACGGTTACGCGTAAGCCTTCGCAATCACAAAGCTGTAGTAAAAAGGTAAGCCCAGAACGCATAACATTCTGGTTAATCGAGTCAGAATGGCTATACACCTGGCGTCTTTTCATGCGTGTGACGTACACAATGGGCCGGATTTAGAACATTCCTTGGCGTTACACGGTGTAATCCTATTTCAACATTTATGGCCAAAGTGATACTTAAGGCCAAAAAAAGAGAGAAAAAGTCGGTCTCTGGTCAGCGCGCGCGTCGATTTTTATCATGCGCGTCAACTTTTTTTTTTATTGTCCGCGGTAGCTATAGTCTGGTTCCCAGACCAAAAGATTCTGACTATTCCTGATGAATCTTAGGTCAGGCAGCCTCCGTGGCTAAAAATTAAAATGACGACATTGATGGCCCTTTTTCAAAGCTCGGCTTTGTTTCCGATTTCGCTATATCGCTTGTAGCTTTTAATGTTCTGATAAAAATTAAAATAGATCACTTGCTTCGTAATATCATACAGTTATGATAATACAGTTTGATGTTTCTGTAAGATAACATTGACTAATGTTGATCTGCAATCTTCAAAATTAGGCACCCAAATAGCACTGTTAGCAGGCGGAGCCGAATGAAGACCGAGGTTTGGAAAATCTCGGTAACGGTCGTCAAATTCAAAATTGTACATGACGCAGCAAAAAGTTCGCCCATACGATCGGAGTATATTTGATGCACGAAATCAGTCGTTGAATTTCAAGTTTTCTAAATGAAAGCAATGAATATTAATTATCAACTCATTTAAAATAAAATTAATAAGCAATTAGCAGTTAATTAAACCTATATTATACACTCGAAAATACTCAGGCGCTATCCGATTGTCGACGAAACGACTTCGGCAAACTTCGGAAATTTTCGGAAAAAGGAGGAATTCTTCCCGTTTTAGACACGTGACGTAAATTGTAATACAATGTATTACCGTAGACTACCGGACCTAAGATTCATCAGGAATAGTCAGAATCTTTTGGTCTGGGAACCAGACTACGGTAGCTACAACAGCGCCCTCTATTGCCGCACTTCCTCAAATTGTTGTACCAAGGAATGGGGAAATTGCACCAAGGCAAATGATGGAGGGCACAAAGGCCAATTATGGAGGACACCAATGTATATGAGGACACAAAAAAAGCAAAAAATAGTACCCACCTTGTCTGTATAATCCAAGCTTTAATAAAAAAAAGCCCCCCCCCAAAAAAAAAAAAACCGCGTCGCCGCATCAATTCCGGAACTTTGGTCTGACCAGAGACCGACTATTTTTGACATTCTCTAACATCCCATTACACTCTAAGAGCCAATGTAATGGAAAGTTTGAATGCAATCCCTAAAAATGCACCTTTGTGTCCCGTTTAACTTTATTTTCAATTTTCATAGTTTATTGCTATTTGCAAGGTTTTTTTTAAATGCTATGCGCATTTCCACAATAAGCGAAACTGTGATGCCATTCAAGGCAGAAACTTTGATGCTAAAAATGCTTCAGCAAGAAAAGTTGCCAGATTGTTTGTTTTTTTGTTTGTAGTAAATATTTTAAATATTAATTCAATGAGCAAAAATTGTAGGTTCGTAATTTTTACGGAACACCCTAAGTGCACGTTACACACGTTTTAAACTAAACTTTTTATTCACTTAGGTTTTCTTGCAGTTCAGAGAAAGTTGCTCAAAATGAATGTTTTAATTACATGCAATGGTCCCTTAAAAAATCGCCCAAACAATTTTCATTGTCAAGCAAAATAGGAATGAAAGAAACGATACCTTGTATCCGATATTTTGTGTCATTTCAGGTCTTCCGTGTACGAGTTCTCCACTGGGGATGGCCAGTGGGGCCATCCCTGATTCCAGCCTGACGGCGTCAGGCTCACACAGCTCAACTTATCTCCCAAGCAAGGCCCGACTGAATGGTAAGTCTCATTGATTGCTACTCAGTCTCTCATTGCAATAGTCTGCAACTGTTGCTTAATTTGTGTTTTTTCCCTTTTTTGTGAGTTAAGACATAGGAATTGTATAAGCCCGACTCTAAAAACAACTAGAAACATTGTAAAAAAAATTACTAATTAACGATGCATTGCGAATGTTTTAATTATGGATTCATTCTTGGTCAATATGACCAGCCCCTTTCTTTTTCAAGGCTTTAGGCTCATTTGCTTTTCATGCGTTGTTCGTTTCCAATAATAACACCTCTCAAAATTTAAAGATGAATGTTTAAATGTTAAACTTAACCAAATGAAACTACAGCAATTTTTTTCGCGAAAACATTGAAAAACCATGCACTATCTTTTGATCACGAAACACGATTTCGCCCATGGTACTCTGTATTTAAAAAAAAGGCAATTGACTGATCGTTGGAAATCACCACCATTTCTTGATTTCTTCGCAATGACAGCAAGCCAAACAAAATAACATCACGGGGTGGTTAGTACCCTACGATCTTTCATCCAACAAAAAATAATAATAATAATTCGGTTGGTTTCTTTTGAGATACATGCAAATGATCCTACATGTCTTTAACCCATAAATGTCGTTTTGTCTAAGTTTCTAAATATAAAAAGAGGTCAACCAACAACAACAAAAAGCCTCCGTGGATTCCGGATAATCTCCGCAAGACAGCTCACTTTTCTCAGTATTTCATTTGAACTATTGCTTGAACCCTGTACTCCTGAAAAGCTTGAATAATCTGAAACTGTTCTTGAAATTCGGGCGATTCACAATGCAGTGCGCCACCAAGAGTTTGTCATGGCAAGTCCATTTTTCAAGTTTACAGTCGACAAAACGCGGTCCATTTGAATGTGTGTCAGTAGACAACTTGAGCTAATTTTGTTATAGATTGGGGCATAGTGTTCTGCCGGCTCATAAAAAACACCATATTGATTAAAAGGGGAAAAAGGCGCACATATATTCGAATCATACGCTTACGAAACTACTGACCGGAAAAAGACAAACAATTTCAAATGTCCCGCGCTGCGAATTTGTCAGCATACTTTTCTCTTCTGAAGAGCTTGAATAATCTGAAACCGTTCTGAGAGAAAGATGCATGGAAGTGATTCTGTGTGAGCACACCACGCCGCATGTATATGACAATTTCCCGTTACATGAAAGCAGCAAAACTCATGCTACAGTCAGACCGCGTATATCCTGTATTCAAGTGCTTATGTAAATCCCAGCGATATCGCATATTTTTTTAAGCCAGAATAGTCCATGCATTCCCCATAAACTTGACCAAAAGAAAAACCGATTCTGTGTATCACTCTGTCCATGTTACGATTTATATGTCATTGCATTGACTTGTTTTGTAACATTAGTGTTCTCATGTCCTAGCTGGGTACAAAACAAAAAATCGTCACTGGTTTACTGTCATTAAAACAA